CATTTAAGTCTAATCATCCCTTAATTTATCTTCGATTGTATATTTTCATTTCTTATCTTCTCCATTTTATTTTACATCTATTGACAATTTAAATCTCAATTTGTTGGATCATTTGACTTGGTGATCTAATGTGTCTAATTATAAAGTCGTTATTACTGTCGTGATCGTTAATACTATCGTAAGTTGTCAATTTTGTTTTTTATTTTCGGTGGCGAGAAAACATTTATACCATCTTAAATCATGCCTTACATCATCTTCAGGTCCTCCTTTATTTATATTCAGACTTGAATACTTAAAATCACCACTTTAAAATGATTGAAAGAGATTTGTTTCAATCCAATTTGTTTGTATGCCTATTACCAATATGACATTTTAAAGCATATATATTTTTTGGTGGAAAGAGCGTGATAAATTGTTGTAAAATACTAACATGTGATTTTTTAGAACAAATATACTTGTTGAATTATTAAATAGACGTGCATTAGATATTATATTTCTCATAATCAAGAGAATACTTTCTTACTATCTTTAAAATATAAATATTCCATTACTAGCCATATAAATTGAAGCACCGTATTTTTAAAAGATTAATTTGTTAGGAAGGGAGATATATATAATCTTCAATATTCTTAATTAGTAAATTTTTATTATATATTTTTTAATTATGAGTTGAATTACTTTATCTAAAGATTTATAGATGGCGAGTTAGAAGAGTTATTTTTATTCACAGGTTTTAGTTCAATCTCACCATACTACATATCTTAAAAGTTTTGTTGAGAATTAAAAATCATAATTCTAGGAACTTGTTTGACAATCATTATTGTAGAAAAAAAGAATTTTGAATAGTGATAAGCGAACATGTAATTAAAAAATAGGAAAAAGTTTTCGGTATACATGTAGAATATTTTATTGTATGAATGTATAGTTGAAAATGATCATGTAACAAACTATAAAATAAAATAATGTGTCAAACAGGCATTAGACCACCAAGAACAGTAAAATTGCAATAAGAAATTAAAAATATAAAAGAACGCATTATATTTATAGAAGTTCGTCTCAATGTAAGATTACGTCCTCTTTGTTGTTGTATTAATTCACTATGATGAAAAAAAATTTACAAAAGAAACCGCACACCATATTTTCTATAACGACTCTCTTTTTGTTGACCACACAAAATTCTAATGGCAACTCATATTTATAAGATAAATTAGATAAAAATCGAAATTATAAGTGTGAAATTTCTCAACTATCCTTACTGAAATTTTTGTCAAAGGCCCGTAGCTATCGGGAGATTGATCCTCCCACTGGCTCCACATGACGAAAATAATTAAATTTTGCAGCTAATCCCCTTTTTCATAAGATGATAAATATATTGAATTAGATTACTATTTTGTTCGAGAAAATATTTAGCCGGATTTATTCAACCAGCACGTGTATTGACAGTAAAGCAAATTGTAAATTTATTTCATAATAATTGTATTGTGTCACTTTCTATATAGCTGTCATGAGTCGTCTCTTTTATCTATATAAATTTCCTAGCAATAAAATATTTATAATTATTGTACAATAAAAAAGTGGACAGTCTACTTGCTTGAATGCGACTTCTAAAGTCAAAAAAAATAAAAAAATAAATACAGACCAAAAAAAAAAAAAACGTGTGATTTAAGTGCTACGAAACTGTTGGGTGTACAAAGTAGTCAATGATTTGTTATAAGAGATTATAAAATGCAAGTTTTTAATTTAGAGTGTCTATTTCTTTACATAATTCAATCTAACTTTCCTATACTTTGCCTAGCAAACTGCCATAAGATTATCAATAATTTCCAATTAATTAGAGTCTATATTTTAAACTTCTTTATGTTGCATATAGTTTTTTCATAGATATTATATTATAGACACAAAATTGTTTTTTTTTTTAAATCAAAAAGTAATTACCTTAAAGAAGTGTTTTTGGGCTTCAAAAAAGCTCTCCTAACACACATTAAGTCTAGTTCAACATGGTAAATTTGTATTATACTCAAATTAACAAGAAAAAGTCACAAGGTTTAATAAATTTTAAAATGTCTATCTTCTTATCATAATCTGCACATATTCAAAATGAAAAACGTGCCAATATAATGTAATAAGTTCATTTGACCAGATAAGAGTTCCAAAGTTGAATAAAATATCGTATGTTTATTTTTCAATTTACTTTGGTCCAACGTACTCATTTCGAGAAGAAAAGAGTTTATGGTCTGTTTGATTGTAAATGTGGAAAAAGCAAACCAATTTCTTGTAAATTGGGGAAAAAAAACCACCAACACTATACGAATTCGATTTCTACTCAATTGATTAAAAACGTGCTTTTAAGTGTTTGTACCTTGAAATTTGAATTTCATTTCCACTTTCATATCAATCAGCCGAAATAGTAAACGAATTTCTCGGATCTGACATTTTCCATAGAATTTAATGCCATCAAATGGACCTTAAATCCTTGAACAACGTTGCACTTTGTTAATTCCAAAATGAGGATTATTTTTGTGGTCATCAAATGTTGTACACATTAAATATGAGGGGTGAGGATTCATTTCAATTATTATAACGAAATAGCAAATTTAAGTGTCAGAAAGGGGGACAAAAATAAGAAAGAAAAACTAAGTCTTACCGAAAAATAGATGACATCTATCGTGAGTGGAATTATACATTGCGAAAGAAAGTGAGACACTTAGTACTCTTAAATTTTA